GCGGTAGTCCGGGGAAGCAGGTATTAACCATCTCCGCCTAGAACAATGAACTTCGGGTCAGCGGGGCACGAGCTCGGCACCCAGCTGGGCTGCAAGCGGGCGCCAAACAGGAGGCAGAGGCGCTGCCTTCGGAGCTTGCCGTCCCATTGGCTTCATCGCATCCTCTGTCCTCCAAATACCGCTCCCCGGGGCCTGCCAGGGGCGGCTATTTGTGGCTCAGGGAGGAGGTCCAGTGAAGCTCCCCTCATAAATTACAAGGAGAGACACATGTAGGTCAAGATTGGGGAATTCAGTGCGGGAGGGATCCCCAGGAATCCTGCTCTCGGCCTGATGTGGGATTTTCCCCCTCTTCCCTGGGAGAGCCACTGACTCAGGCAGCAGGCGTCTGCAGGACTCCCAGAAGGAGCTCCAGCCCCCCCCCCCCCCCCGTGGTCCTGCCCCCGGGTCCCTCTGCCCCATTGCCCAGCCTGAGCTCTTGGGCCTGCCCCTCCGCAGCCGTGTTCCTCGTCTCTACACTGAGGTCTGTGCTTTAGCCTGTGTGGGCGCCCCCACTCGAGTCAAGCAGGGTTGAAGAGTGCTGTGCATGCTGTGAGCTTCCGTGCCAGCCCTGAATCCCGTCCAGTCCTCCGGGACTCCCTCGGGTGCGGCCTGAGCCTATGGGACCCTTCCCTGGAGGTGTGGCTGTGCATGGACATTGGCCATCTCTCTCTCTCTCCCTCTCTCTCTTTCTCTCTCTCTCTCTCGTAATGCTGCGATGCCCCTTCTCGGAGCAGCCCCTGCCGTCAGTCATGACTTCTGAAACCTGCTTTCTTTTGGCATTGGGTCCTCGCTGTCACTGTCGGACCGTCGCTTAACTGTCCTTTGTTGCTCCCAACAGCGCCTAGCAATTTTCCTCCTGATTCGAATCCCCAGGTTGTCAGGTTTGGGTGTGCTCTCAAAGGAACCTAAGGAAGGCAAGGCCAGAGGTGCTTTCTTCTAGGAATAAACTCTCTGAGCTCCGTGAGCTACCGATCCCACGATCCCAAGGTTCAAGGTTCAATGACTCCTGTGTGTTTACTCACAGGCTGTGTGGCCAGTGGAGGTGATCAGAAGTCAGTTCTTGATACGAGCCAGGTCACTTCAGGCATTCTTTGTACCTCCCCAGAAAGGCTCGATGGATACTGGCTTAAAGGAATGTGTGAAGAGTTTGGCTCCTCTTCCTGGCTAGCCTCTGCCTCGTTCTCCACCCCTGCAGCAGAGGCAGGACGTGCCTACTGCTGACAGAGTGTCTGGCCTCAAATTACACCGGATCAGAGCTCGGGCATAAAATTAGCAGCAGTGTTCTCTGTATGAGGAGCCAGAGAAATACCCATATTCAGCAGAACCACGGGCAGAGAGGGAAGAGCTGGCCCCACAGGCCCTGTGGCCCTTCCCTGGACAATCTTCCGGGACCCTGCACCCCCCCTTCCCCCAGTGCGGAGGTGGCTGCCCTGTGGCTGAGTCAGGGCCATGGGAGGGGAGACTTCTCCAAGGGGGGAGGGAGTGGGGGATGAGAAGGCAAAACCTTGAGAAGTCTGGGAAGGTGAACTTGACGGCTTGTCTTCCCTGAAACGCACATACACACACTGAAAACTATGAACAAGAATAAGACATTCTCATGGGCCTAGGCACTCTTCACACATTTTGTTTTTCATGGATTCCCAATACCGGCCCCTTCTGTAAGCCTGTTTTACAGATGGGTAGAGAAAAGATCGAAAAGGGCATATTAGGGGCACCTGGGTGGCTCAGCTGGGTAAGCATCTGCCTTCAGCTCAGGTCTTGAACCCGGGGAGTCCTGGGACTGAGCCCCACACATTGGGCTTCCTGCTCAGTGGGGGAGTCTGCGTCTCCCTCTCTTTCTGCCCCTCCCCCCGCTCATGCTTTCTCTTGCACGCGCATGCACGCATGTGTGTGTCTCTCTCTTTCAAATGAATAAATCAAATCTTTTCTAAAAAGGGCATAGTGATAGCCCAAGTTCATATGTCATAATGCATTCATGTTCGTGCTCATTACGTGTCCCCCTACATCCCAGGTGTAAACCTGGCCTCTCACATACTCCCAGTCTCACTATGGTGCGCTACACCGTGTGCTCTTGTGTGGATGCGGCCTAAACACACACACTTCCCTACCCAGAGCTGTATGTGTTCATACACACGTTTATGTGCAACTATATATGTTTCCAACCACATGCATATGATGATACACACAATTGCATGCCAGTGCTGTGCACACTGTCTGGCTAAAATTGTCACTTCCTGTCTTTCCTGACCAACTCTACAGCAGCATTGCCCGCAGCCACAGCTGGGTGTTCACAGCTCTGGGTGCTCACAGACACCTGCTACGTCTGCCGCTTCACCCTGTCCTGTTACTTGGCATTTTAATTGCTTTATCCTGTAGACCGGGAGCCCTGAGATGCCAGTGACAGGGTTGGAGTCGTTGTTCATCGTATTATTTCTAGTTCTCCAGGTGTGAATTCCCCAGTATGTGGAGTCTGTACTGTCTTTCATACTGTAGGTGTTCTTTACAGAATTTGTCATTTTGATTTGTGAGCTCACAGGGCAGTTTTGTTGTTGCTCCTACAGGCTCATGGATTCCAAACTGTCTCAATGTAATGCCTCAGTTTAGGATTGGCACACCGTGTGGGTAGCTTGGATCTGGGCCTCACACTAGTGCATGCTTCAGGCTTGAGGCTCTGATCTGGTGCATGTACCCCTTGTTCTACCCACGGCCTGGGAGAGTATCTCCATTCCTGCAGTGACCCCAGGCTGATAGCTGAGAAATGCTGTTCTTCTAATCAGTTCTGACACCTGGCTTCACCCTGGGAATTCAAATCTGACTTCTGGGCGGGACATGCAGCCCAGACCTAGTCCCAGATTAGCATTAAAGTCTCAGCCCCAGTAGCCCATACCCACCCTTAGTTTTCCTGTGGAGTGTGAAGCACTAGTCCCTCCCTCTGGTCTAGGTTCTCCTTCTCTTAGAACCTGAACATTATACTTTCTTGCTTGTGAGCTAGGCTCTATATGTTTAAGACACTAAAAAAAAAAAAAAAAAAAAAAAAAAGTCTTAGCCAGGCTTTTTCATATGTCTGGTGAACGATGGGAAAGTTCAGCTTGCGTTCACCCTGCCATCTTCTCTCTGTCTTCCAAATGCCTTGCTCAATAGAGTCATTTTTCTTCTTTCTCATGCTCCCCTCTGTCTTGTTCCAACTGTGTCTGCTTCCCAAGGAGCCATAAAGGATCTTGGTTTCAGAAGAGCCCTTGGCTGGATGAAGAGAGGGAGATCCTCACAGAGTCAGGAGTGTGGAGCTGGGTCCAGAGCATGTTCCCTCCTGCGGACTCTGGCTCTACCCTGAGCTCTGTTTTGGGCAGAAGGTCCCTTGGGGTGGCTGAGTGTAGCAGGGGTGAGGTTCAAAGGAAGGATTTGAGGCTGCCAAATGCCCCCACCCCTCATTCTTACAGCCAGATAGTCCTCAGGATCCTGAGAATGGCTCCTGTCCCCAGTCCCTTCATCTGGGAGGAAACATAGGGATTGCTGTCGGAAACCCTGGCTACAGTCTCCATGCAGCTGGCTCTGTCCCCCCAGACCCCTGTCCCAGTCCTAAGGGCACTGCTATGGCATGGGTTTGGGACAGATGGAGTCAGAAAGACATGGCTGCCTTCCCATCTATACCCTCTCTCTGCTGTCCTCCTGCTTTGCATCTGCAATGCATGAGTGGGTTTTGAGCGTGAATGAGAGTGTGAGAGTATCTATGTGATAGGTTGGGGGTTACTGAGTGTGGCTGTGGACTTCTCAGAGAGCTCCCTTCAGAATCCAGTCAGCATATCTGTTAGACGAGCCACAGGATTGCCAACCAGAAGCATCCCCTGAATACCAGTTGAGCACTTGTGATGTGTCAGGCACGATGCTAGCCAGGAATGCAGTCGTTGAATATAAAAGCACACAGCAAACATGAAATTGCAAGAGTTTCCAATGCTCTGAAGTAAAAGCCCAGGGATGTGGAGGAGGACATGATAGAGAGGGACTTTATTTAGGTGAGGGGCCAGGGAAATCCTCGCTAACGGGGTGACTTCCAAGCCAAGTTCTAAAGGAGGCAGAGAAGAACATTCCAGCGGGGGAAGAGCATGCATAAAGGCCAGAGGGGCAGGCACCTTGGAACACTCCAGATGCTCCAGTGTGGGAGTGTGGGAAGGGGAGGGGACCGGGCAAGCTGGTGAGGCCCTCAGAGCTTTGGAGGCAGGACCAGGGATTTGGACTTATTCCTTAAGGGCCAGGCGAAGCAGTTGAAGAGTTTAAGCAGGAAAATATGTGCTCAGGTTTGCCACGTAAAGCTCACTGTGGTTGGCAGATTTAGGGAGGACTGGCTGGCTGCGCCAGGCCTGGGATCTAGGGATGAGGAAAGCATAGGCGAGAGCTCCCGGGGAAGGGCAAGACAGAAGCATAAACTGACACTCATACCCTACACGACGGAGGTAACCGAGTGCTGACTCTGTTGGGGAAACCAGGGAGGCTTCCTGGGGGAGGGTGGCATTTGCCCCGGGGCCTGTGGGATGGCAGGCAAGGTGGAAGCCAGCACTCCAGGCTTAGGGAACAGTTTGGGCAAAGCCTTGGCAGTGAGGGTGAGAGGGTGGGGCCTGATGGGCCAGAGGATGAGAAGTGACTCTCCAAGTTCTGGAGTCCCCTTGGTGGCTGAGCCAGCTCCTGGGGACGCTGTCTCTGCTGGAATGGAGCTCTCTGCTGCCCAGTGGCGTCCTGGCACCAAGAAATCCCATCAAGGAAGTCCTCAAAGCCCCTGGGTCAGTGGATTCCTGCAAACCCAGAGTCCAAGGGTGGGCACTTCCCCAACTGCAGTGCAGCTGGGAGGTGGGGAAGAGGAAGTGTGGGTCTTGGGCTAGACCTAGAGAGCCCAGAGGAGGAGCCTCTTCTAAATGAGCCAGGCAGGGGTGGGGCCTCCCCAGGGGCGGTTCCTGGGGACTCCTGGGACCACAGCAGATGCGCAGGGTGGCCAGAGGTGAGCCAGAGTCAACTCGGCCTGGGCCTGGCTGGGTGAGACTCTTGCCACCCACTCCCCGGGAGCACTGGCGGCCATGGCCCTGGCCCAGCAGCTGCGGGCTGAGAGGTGAGTGCAGGGGCAGTGCCCTCCCTGGGCCTCTTCCCTGTTCCCGGCAGGCCGGCAGGCCGTGGGGAACAGAGGCCCACCCTCCTACAGACCCTTACTGAGGTCAAAAGCCAAGAGGCTGGAGCTGAGTCAGAACCCGAATGCTCAGAAATGCAGATTCTTAGAAGTGTTTGAAGGAAGCTTCCAGTTGTGGCTCACTTCCCTCAGGCACAGATGAAGACGCTGAGGCTCAGAGAGGGGAAGTGACTTTCCCAGGGCCTCACAGGAGTGGGTGTAGAGTCTGGACAGGTGTCCCAGGTCCCAGGCTGGGCTCGCTGCCTCACACTGTGGTCAGCGATGGCTTTCTATCTTCTGTTCAAACAGAATCACAGAACCTGGCTTCTTCCTCTTTATCCAGGGCCTGGTTCACATGTCAAAAGCCTTCCCTTACAAGCCCCTGCATTGCTCTCTGACCGCTCGCCCTGTTTCCTTTTTCTGCAGAGTCCTTATACCACTTGCATAATATTCTGTACTCGCTCCTTTGTTTTCTGTATCACTGGCTCCCCCATTAGCAGGCCCCGTGGTGGTGCGTGATCACCGCTGTATCCCCAGCACGTAGAACAACACCAGTCGGGCCCAAGGCTCTAGAAGTGCTGACAAATGAGTGAATCAGTGAATGGATGGATCCTTGAGCTAGAGAATGTCCTCAGATCCCTCTAGTCCAACCCTGTGCGGATGAGGACAAGGAGGGCCAAGGAGGATAAAGCGCCTCCTCTGGGGCCCGTGCAGCACAGCCTTGCCAGGGCCTCCCCTCGTCTCCCAGCGAGGCTGCACCCTGAGCTGTGGGGGACCTGAGGACGCGGGGCTTGGCTCTGCCCTGGCCTGGAACAGCAGGTGACCTCAGCAAAAGGGCATGCTCACTGTGTGGAGGTGACTCTGAGCATCGCCGGAGATGGGCCAGGCTGGCTTATGTCAAAGTGGGCAGCCGAGGGTCCTCGGTGGAGTCTGGGGCTGCAGGTGGAATTTCCAAAGGTCGAAGGTCAGAGGAAAGCTTGTCAGCGTGTGTGTGTTGAGGGAAAAGCCACAGGAGAGATGCTCAGAGGGTGGACGGAGAAGGGCCTTGATGAGCCGAGGGCAGGGCCGGTGCTCGGGCTGTCCCACCAGCTTCCAGCCCCTCTTCCCCATGGGTTCTCCATGAGCCTCGGCCCAACACCGGCACACATGGGAAGTAGCCGCTGTGTGAAGCTCGTGGCACTTCCTGTTACTCAGGGACATGTGTCAGAATGCGTGAACCCGCCAGAGCCCATCCCCCGCCCTCAGAAGGTGCGCTCCTTCCCTGGCACTCCTTGCTTCTTTGCAGCCACCCTTGCCCCTCAGAAGAGGAGGAAGAGGTGCCCTCCTGCCTCCCTTCATGGGGCCGTGGAGCCAGGTCCTGGGGTCACTGGCTTCCCTGCCCCTCAGGTGCCCTGGATGTGCTCTGCTTGAGGCCGGAGCAGAGGACGGAAAGGGAGGGCGAGGGCCTTTCCAAGACCCGAGATGTCCAAAGTTGGAAAGGACTGCTTTGGGGTAGTGAGTTTGGTTCCAACAAACATGTATTGAACGCCTGGTGTGTGCAAGAGTTACAAAAACTGACCTAGCTGCGCCCTGAGGATCTTTCCAGGCCTCAGCTTCTCCCATCTAGGCTCCAAAGCAGACTTTGCATGAATAACACGCATCTGAGTCCGGGTCTGTATGAGCCCAGGGCACCCCGGCCCCAGAAGGCCTGGAGCGGGCTTCGGCTCTGAGGGGTCCTGGCTGACATAGCCAGGGGAGTGGCTCCTCTAGGGGGGCTTCCTGTGGGTTTGCTGCACCCCTGCCTCGGCCCTGGTGCAGCAGCTTCCTGGCTCAGCCCCTGTCTGGCAGCCAGGCCATTCCCACGCTCGCTCACCGCCAGAGGACTTACTGCGACACAGGGAGTGGCCCTGCACTGAGCACCTGCTATGTATCTGCTGCTGTCATGGGGCCTCTGGGGCCGGGCTTGTTACCAATGAGAACTCCAGGGATGTAAACACTCCTACGGTCCCCTGTCTCTTTACAGAGGGAAGGCGGAGCCAGGGCACAGATGGGGGTGGGGGTCTAACCCAGGTCCCCACTGGCAATGGCAAAGCAGGGATTTGGGGTTTCATCTTCCACTCATGCCCTCCTACCCCCTCCCCTACACATAAGCCTGCCCCTGCCATCCCAGGGTAACCCTCCCTTGCCCCCCCGACCCGAGGCAAGATGCAAGGCCTTCGTGATGGGCCCTGCCTGTGTCTCTCATAACTTTCTGCCTCTCTCTGTGTGCCAGCTGTGCTCAGACTGCCCTGGCCCTGAGGTTCCTTGAACTTGCCCCCTCTTGCAGGGCTACAGCCTTTGCACTCAGTTTCCCGTGCCCCTGTTGTCCTCTAGCCAGTTCCTCTCTGCTCCTCCTACTCATGCGGCCCCACTTCCTCCGGGAAGCCCTCCCTGACCACCCGCCTTCTGAGCGAGCTGTGCCCTCCAACATACACAGCACCCTGCTTTTCTCTCTGGTGGACGGAAGCCCCATCTTTGAAGTGCCTGCTTGCCAAGCTCTCTCTTGCCCTCTGTACTCCTCGTTCTCAGGGTGGGGGGATATAGAAACGGCCGGACTCTGGGAGAGCTTTTCCTCCACAGCCTCCCTGACCTTTGAAATGATGTGAAGCTCCTTCGCTCAGCTGTGAGACCCAGGAGGGCAGAGCCGCCACCAATTGTGCTTAGAACAGTGTGTGAGCTACCCTAGGTGCTAACAAGGGTTGCTGCTGCTATTATTATTATTATTATATTATTACTATTACTATTACTATTACTCCAGATTCCCTGAGGCTGCGGGAGGTGTTGGGATTTATTTACGTGCATTCAGTGAGTTGTTGGGGCAACAGACTAAGAGCTGTGTGGCCGTGTTTGGCAGTAAAATTCTGCTTAGGCTCGAATCCCAGCTTCTCGATGTACTTGGGCAGGTTCTGAAACCACTCTGTGCCTCGGTTTCCCTGTCTGTAAAAGGGTGCCAGAAGAGCATCTGCTGCCCAGTGCACACTCAGGAAACCGTGAAGGGGGGTTCTTACCCAATCTGGCCAATTCCCTGCCCGGGGCTGTTTCTATGCCTGGTTCCTTCCTGGCCGCTCCCCACTCATCCTATTGCAGATGAAATACCCACGAGGTGCAGAGCCTCTGGGGAGAGAGGGGAGGAGGAAACTTCTCCCAAGGGTATTGCCATGGGGGCATGTGGGGAAAGCGAGTGGGGAGGCTGCCAGCGGCCACCAAGCTGCTCGGGAAGCCGTGGGGATTTCCTCTGCCGGCCCACTGCCACCCTGAGTCACTCTCGCCAGTGGCAGCCACCAGCGGCCTGAGGTTAGCCCGAGGTCCCACGCAGCCCAGGCCCAGGGGACTGTATGTGTGGCTCCACACCCCTGGCCGCTCTTTCTCTGTCTCCTTGGCTGTGTTTTCTCGTCGTCCTCCACCTGTCCCTCTCAGCCCCCTCTGCTCGCAAATTGCTCTTTGGGTCGGGGTGGGGGGCGGGGGGCTGAGGTCTTTACCATAAGTCACAGGCACATGGTTACCTCTAGCAGGGATCCACCCCCAGCCCGTCACCCCGCTGCCCCGGACTGAGCTCTAGAGCCACACGAGATCTGGCCAGACCTTGACCCCAGGTCCCAAGGGCCTTACATTAGGGTGCTCAGTCCATCAGCTCTACTTCCTGCCCACCCATCCTGGTCAGAATGTGGGTGACATGTAGGTGTCACTCTTGACACTGCCCTTCCTTTCACCTCCGTATCCAAACAGTCCCCAAACCCTGCTGGCCGTCATTCAGGGATGACTCACAAACCAGTAGCATGCCTGTTGGAAATGTATAAGGCTGCAAGGCACAGAGGAACCCACAGAGTTTAAACAAGTGGGCTCATTTTTTTTCCCACATAATAAGAAGGCCAGCGAACCCAGGACCAGAATCCCAGAGATTCCTTTGGTATTCCACATGTCTTTTGCCTCATGGGTGCAATATGGCTGCTGTGGGTCCGGACGGCACACCTGCTTTCAAGGTAGGTAGAAGGGGGAAGGAGAAGAAACCCTGCTGGCCTGTCTGTCCCTCTGGATCCAGAAAATAAACGCTCCTGGAGAGGCCCCGGCACCAGGATTCCTCTTAGGTCTCATCGGCCAGGACTGGGCACATGGCTGGTCCTATAGCTGCAGGGGAGGCTGGGAAATAGAACCGAGATGATTAGGTTTGGTTCAGACTGATCACGGCCTATCACCTTGAGGCCAGGCACATTGCCACCTGGAGAACATAGAGCTTGATTAGCAGGAAGAAGCAGGGGACACCACAGTGAAACAGTGTCCACCAAGGGTTGTGTCCCCACGTCTGTTGTCTCCTGTCCCTGCTGCCTGGCTCCCCCCCCCCATCTTTCGGCTGTACCCCTCTGGGGCCTCGCAATGCTTCTCTGCCCCTTTCGTCTCTGTGTTCCCTTCTGTCTCCACACAGCTGCCTGGGCTGGCCTCCTAAAGCTGCGATCCTATTGTTTTGTGCTTTTTTTTTTTTTTTTTTTTAACATTTTATTTACTTATTTGAGAGAGAGAGAGTAGGAGCAGGGAGGGGCAGAGGCAGAGGGAGAAGCAGGCTCCATGCGGAGCAGGAAGCCCGATGCGGGACTGGATCCCAGGACCCCAGGATCATGACCTCAGCCGTGGGCAGATGCTTAACCAACTGAGCCCCCTGGGGCGCCCCGGGATCGCACTATTTTTACTCTCTTCTGAAGCCTAGGCTCCCGGCTGCCCACGGGAGTTACTTAGCTCAGCACTGGAGACCCTCCTCAGCCTGCCCCCACCTGCCTTTCAGTCTCTGATCCCCACTAACCCCAGTCACACTGTTCCCACTGCCTGGAAGGCCTCCCTCCCGCCCCCTTGGGCCTGCTTGGTGGGTTCCCCTTCGACCTTGTAGACTCGGTTCAAACGCCGCCTCCTCTGCAAGGACGTCCCCGGCCTGGGCACAGGGAACCATTCTCTCTGTGGGGCACCTGCTAACTTTGTGACCCAGGGCCCTGGCCAGGGTGTGACACAGAGGATGTTCCCTGATGAGCTGCTCCCAGATGACAACGCAGCCACCAAGCCATTTGCTGGACTGTAACACGGCTGCTGCCATACGGCCCCATCTCCAGGGCCTTCACTCTCAGGGTCTGGCCCATGTCCTGGCCTGGCACCTAAGGGGTGTTGACCAAGAAATGCCGGCCGCACCTTTGGTTCACGCCTGCACCCTTTTGCCCCGCGCGCCCGTCAGGTGGTAACCGGGCTTTCTTTCCCTCCCGCCTCCCTCAGCGACTTTGAACAGCTTCCCGACGACATCGCCATCTCGGCCAACATCGCCGACATCGAGGAGAAGAGGGGCTTCACCAGCTATTTTGTAAGACACATCCCTGACCTTGGCTTCTGACCTCTGAACCTCCAGCTCTCTTACCCCCCTTACCGTCCATCCCAGTGGTTCTCAAATGGGGCGATTTCAGCCTCCAGGGGATATTTGGGAGTAAATATCTTGGGACACATTTGATGATTCCAGCTTAGTGGGGGTGCAGCAGACTTGGGGGGCAGGGGTGCAGCTGGCCTGGAGGGTGGGAGTGCAGCTGGCCTTGGGGGACAGGGCTGAAGCTGGCCTCGGTGGACCGAGCCCAGTGGGGCTGCTGGGCACGGCCCAGGTCAGCCCCCACCCCAGGGCAGTGCCTGGCCCCCAGGGGAGAACCGAGGCGGGGAACCACTGCTCTAATCCTAGGACCTTCGACCCCCCGCACCCTCATCGGTCCCTGGCCTCCCTATACTCTGGCCTGTGTCCTCCTTAGGTTTTCGTCATCGAGGTGAAGACCAAAGGGGGATCCAAGTACCTCATCTACCGCCGCTACCGCCAGTTCCACGCCTTGCAGAGCAAGCTGGAGGAGCGGTTTGGGCCGGAGAACAAGAGCAACCCCTTCACCTGCAGCCTGCCCACGCTCCCAGGTGGGGAGCCCACGGCCCGGGGAGCTGGGCGCCCTGCCCCTTGACAGAGCTGCGTGCCCCCCACACCCCGGGCCTCTCCCTTTGGCTCTGCTGCCCCTGGTGGTCACTCCATGTCTGCCTCCATGCCAACCAGTTAGTCTGTGGCCCCTTCTGGTGTCACGGGCTGCCTCCTCTAGCCTCGTGGCCCTTGACCTCCTGGTCATGGGGAACCAGTGATGGTGACGGCCACCCTGTTTTGGCCGTCCATCCCTCGTTCACCACACCGACTGGTCTCCAGCACCCCCTCCGGCCCTGTCTAGAGCCGCCCCAGTTTGGGCAGTTCCCCGTGCCCCTCCCTTCCCTGGTCTGCTGGGACACCGTGGGCACTGGACAGTCCCCTCACCTCTTGCCTCCTGGCCTCTCTCCCAGCTCAGCCCAAACATGCACCTCGGGTTGGCCCAGGTCTGTAGCTCCTCGGCACCTGCACTCGTGAGCCCTGCAGGAGCGTGGGGTGCCGGGTACACGGGGTAGTCTCGGGGTGCCCCACACACCCTGCAGGCCACATACAAGCACCCTTGCCACACACAGCAGAGACACTTCCTGTCCTTTCCTTCTGTAAGCTCCACACCCTACCTCCAGCTTGCTCTCTCTCTGTCCCCACTGAGGCCTGCAAGCAGCCCCACGGAGGCGCTGAAGCTGCCCCCCAAGAGCTCCTGGCTTCTCTTGTCCTCCTCCTGAGCCACTTGCCCACTTGCGCTTGCACCTGCCCCTTCCCTGTCTGCGGGCTGCAGGGAACAGGGGACCTTCCTGCTCTTAGTCTCCCATTGGGGCTTTGCCCCTCTCCCCCTGACTTTCCCCTGATGGCCTCTCCTCCGCCTCCTTGTACACTTGCCTTCTCCTTATTTATTGACTCCGCCAGGCTCTCCCACAGCCTCAGTCCTCCTGTCTTTGGACAAGCATGTGCTACACAAGGAGGTGTTCCTGCTGTAGCCCCCTTGGGCCCCGAAGGCCCTCAAAATCTCACTCACTGTTCCCCTTCCCCCTCCATCTCCTGCTCACCTGCCAGCTTGGTTTCAGCTCCCACTGCCCCCCACTGCGCTCCCCCTGGGGAGGTGACCCCTGACCTGTTGTTAACTTGGACTTCTATGGGCACAGCCCGGCCTCACCTTCGCTGTCCTGCTTCTTCCTCTGGGAAGCTCTCCCGGACCTCCTCCGGGTTCTCTTCCTCCCTCTCGGCCCTCTCTGTGCTCCTTGGAAGGTTCTTGGGCCTCCTCTATGGTGCCATCCTCTGCTTTCTCCTCCCTCCCAATACCCTCCCCACTACCAGATAATCTGACCTCTGATCTTAACGGCTCTCTTGTGGCAGTTGCATCCCAAATGCCTCCCTCCCCCAGACCTCAGACACTGTCCTCCTACCCCTGCTGGGCACCAGCCCCTGCCCATCTCACAGACAACAGGAGCCAGGCATTTGTCTTCTGGTGGGGATGCTTTGGGTGGACGGTTCTACCAAGGCCCCCACCTAAGGCTCCTGGGGACGACATTTGTTGTGGGTCAGCCATCATCTGTTTCCTTTTGTCCCCCCACCCCCACCCCTGAACACACTGCCTTGCTTTTGAGCAATGATGCATCCATCTACTCAACAAATATTGACGGATTGGGGCATTTTTCTAGGGCCTTGGTTCCTAACCTCGGGGGGCATATTAGAAGTACCTTGAGGTTGAAAGAATTCTGATGCCCTAGTCCCACCCCCAGAGATTCTGATTTAAATATTCTGGGTCCTACAGAATGAGATTTTTAAATGCTGCCCAGGTGACTTACATGTGCAGCTGGGGATGAGGACCCCCATCCTAGGTGTGGGATATAGCTGTGAGCAAGGCAAAGCTCCTTTTCTCTTGGAGCCAAGAATCCTGAGTGTGTGTGTGTGTGTGTGTGGTGTGTGTGTGTGTAGAGATATGGGCAATAAATAAATATGACAAGAAAAATATCCCCTGGTGACAGGACAATTGAGAGAATGCAAGTTGAAAGGTGGGGTGGCCGGAGTGGCCCCCTCAGCCCTGAGGAGCCAGCAGGGAAGATTCCTGGCCCAGGTGGGTGGCTTAGAGCCCAGAGACCATGGTCTTGGGCCAGGCTCCCAGGGCAGCTCTTTGCATTTCTGCAGCCAAAGTCTATGTGGGTGTGAAACAGGAGATCGCAGAGATGCGGATACCTGCCCTCAATGCCTACATGAAGGTAACAGCGGAGCCGTGTCACCCTGGCGCCTGGGAGGACCCCTGGGAGGGCCCCTGGCAGGGTCTGGAGGGGGAAGCAGCCCATGTGCCGTCCATGAGCCTGGCCTGGGGGCCCGTTCTCCTGCTCTGATGGCCCCCATCTTCAATCCTTAAAGAGATTGGGGAGGGAAACAGGATGTCGGGGCTGTTGGGGGTGGGGCGGAAGCAGTGGAGAAGGCACAAGGAACCACACTCTGAATCGACAAGTCTGCTGTCTGTGCCGGGTGTTCTGATGCCGAGGTAAACAGGATCTGATACCTGCCCTGTGGGGACTCTGACAAGTGGGTCACGAAATCACAAAGCTGTGACCTATGTAACAGGAGCATGATGGGCCAGGGCCCCAGCTCTCTCACGCAGGGCCTTTATACCAACTGGAGAAAGGCCTTCCCTTGCCAATGCATGGGATGATTTGGTTGCATTCGTGGGCCTTGCCCGGGTGCCCTTGGGTATTTCCCGACCTGTAAACTGTCTGCATCCCCAGGAGATGGGAGCACAAAGAAAGAGGCACCCTGAAGGCAGAGACCAGGCTGGTCAGGAAAAGCCTTCTACCAATCAGGACCGTGCAAAAAAGGGCCAGTGGTCCTCATGAGGTAGTGAGCACCCTGTCACCAGAGGCACCCAAGCCATGGCTTGGTGGCAACCTTAAGAAACTGGAGAAGGAAGCTCTCCCCATAGCACAGAGGCACCCTAACAGCCTAACTCCTTCCTACAAAGGAGTAGAACAGCCCCCTCCTCTTCTACTCTCCTGGCTGAAGGGCACAGAGCTAGGAGTCTTCAGTCTTTGCTCTGACATTGACTATTTGGGTGACTTGAGGCAAGTTGCTCATGCTCTCTCAGCCTTGGTTTCCTCACCTATGAAATGGGGCAGTGCGCTCTGCTCTCTGGTCTCATGGGAGGGGAGTGATGTTGGGAGCTTCTAGACCGTGAGAGATGGTAACCCCTGGAGGAATGAGCAGCAGGAGGGCAGAGGAGGTAGGAGGCAGGAGGGGAGTGGTCGGTTCAGGAATCCTGCTCTGAGCCCACAGGAGGGACAGTGGGAAGTCCCTAGGCTGCGGAGGGGCTGGGGGGGGGGTGCACTGTGATGGCTGCTCCAGGGCGGCTGGAGGTTCCTGTCCTCTCCTGCAGGGCCAGGGGAGCGGGGAGGAGCTCCACAGAGAGGGATGAGGCTGTAGAGCTTGGGCTCTTCGTCCCACCCGGGGGGCTCAGCCACCAGCAGCCTGGAGGATCCCACCTCTGCCTCTCTGTCTGATTCGGTTCCTCAAAGCCCAGGACTCAATCACTGCAGGCCTCTGTGCTCTGGCTAACCCCAGCCCATGCTTGAAACATTCGGGGACGGGGAACTCACCACCACTCTTCCCTGTCCGCACCCTGTTGCACGGCGATTAGAAAGACCCGATTCCCTGTAGCTTCCACCCACTGGTCTCACCACTGTCCTCACGGAGAATATGGGTCATGTGATGATGACGCCTGCACCTGCCTGGAATGGTGTGGGGTGCTTGGACCGGCAGCCAGGAGCCTCTTGCTATACGTTTGTCGGATACACACAAATAGGCTTATTTATTTCCGTCAATACCTTGTGAGTTAGATACTGTTATCATTCTTCACAAGGGGACGTGGAGGTCCGGAGAGGTGGGGCCGCCCACTCCATGTCATAGAGCGGCTAGACAGGAGGGCGGAGACTTGAACTCGTGGCTCTGTGACTCCAGGGCCAGATTTCACCCCCACGCTACGTTGTAATGAAAGTGACAGTGACAGCGGATGATCCCAACTCCGCAGGGGCCCCGCTAGATGCCCGGAGTGTTCTTAGTGCTGTGCACGTATCGCTCCTTTAAGCCTCACGCCATTCCGCAAGGCAGACACTATTGTCATCCCCCCCTTAATTACGCTTGCCCAAGGCCACCCACTGGCTCAGGGTCCGTCCCCTGAAGCCCATCTATGGGCCGCCTCCCCACCCTCCCCATATATCAGCCCTGTCCTTTCCAGGCTCTGCATTCCCAGTTCCTCCGAGATGGACCTCTGGGCCCCTCCCCGTCCTGCCACCTCCGTGGGATTCTCCAAGGGGAGGGGGGTCTGGGTGCCTCTGGAGCCATAGCACCCAAAGGCAACCATGGTACCCCTGGGGACCTTTGCACTGTGCAGTTGTGGGGGATGACCCCTACGGGGGCCCGGCTACTCTGCATCCTCACGGTCTGCGGATCTTTGCCCTGTGGTGGGAGTAACCAGCATCACACTGAGTGAGGGTCCCGGCTTCACTGCTTCTTAGCTCTGCCAAGTGGGTCAGGTACTTTGCCCTTTTGAGCCTCAGTTTCCCCAGCTGTGACATGAGATAAGGTGTCAATCAGAAAGCATTTTTTAGGCTGTAATGCCACCAACTGTTGTTGATTTGAGTTATTTGAAGTATCCTTTCTCCTACTATTGTCTCATTGTTCACTGGGGGATGGGCCCTGGTGACAGATGGCTCTAGGTGGCCCAGCTCTGTCACCTGCTGGGCCAGGTGGCCTCAGGCAGGTCCCCTACCTCTCTCACACCAACTTTGAGGTTGTTGTGAGACGGAGTGAGGTCACATGGGGTGGCACTCAGTGCGGTGCCTGCATAGTCACCACCACGTCACTTCACCTGCCGTCACCATCAGTGTTACGTCTGGAGGCCTTTAGGTCTTTTCCAGATCAAGTGTTCTCAAGCCGGTTGGTCCCCTCCTGACCTCGCACCCGGGGGAAAGCTCATGAGATGTTGCCTTTCTTGTGTGAAGAGAAATACTGTCTTGTGTCTGTGATCAGGCAGAGAGCTTTATTACGAGAGAAAGAGAGAGGGAGGGACCAGCAAGGGACATGGGAATGGAGCAGATGGGTCAGGATGTCCAGACCTTTCTGTTGACTACCCCGCTCCTGCCTCTTCTCCCAAATGCAGAGCCTCCTCAGCCTGCCCATCTGGGTGCTGATGGACGAGGACGTCCGGATCTTCTTCTACCAGTCGCCCTATGACTCGGAGCAGGTGCCCCAGGCGCTGCGCCGGCTCCGGCCGCGCACCCGGAAGGTGTAAGTGACCAGCCCCTGTGCTTCCGTGGGCCACATGCCAGGTGTCCCTAACCAGGTGCTCTGTCCCAGATGCCCTCTGCCCCTGCAAAGATGCTTCTTTTCCTAGAGATCACTTCGATCCCTGAACACCCCAGGAGGTTCTGCTTGTTAGATGAGCTTGGAAAACCAAGCACAGGGCCTGGAGGGATAGAAGGTGGGTGCCTTCTGATGTGTGTGACGATGAGGATGGAGGACAGGGGCTGGGCCACTGATGGGGATATTTGGTGGCACAGCACCCACTGGGGGTATCTCAGGCCTTGGGGTGCCTGGAGAGAGCTGAGGGGGAGGAAAGGAGGAGCTGCTCTCTCCGCAGATGCTCCCAGAGTATCTCCTGGGATGCCCTGTGCCCAGCCTCAGTTGCAGTTCCATGGGGCTGGCTGTGACTCCTGGTGTGTCACACTGGCCCCCGAGGATGCTGCTGCTTCCTCTCAGATTCTAAAGAGTCCACCATTCCCACCCAGCTCCTTCCTAAGGGTCTTTCCAATCACAGAAAACCCAAACCACTGAAATAGGGCTAGGCTTCCCAAGGCCGGGTTACTGCTGCTAAGAGTTCCAGGGACAGTGCTCCTGAGCCCCGGCCTCCCTCCCAGATCCTCCCTCCTTCCTGAGGCCAGTACCTCCGAGTGTCCTCTCCATGCCTGGCCATGTCCCTGGGTCATACAGGTAGGCTGGGTCTCAATTCCAGCTGAGCCAAGAGACAGCCCTGTGCCTGGAGCCCTGATGCAGAGTGCTTCTCCAGCCCATTTTCTTGGCGGAAAGACTAGAGGTTGGGTGTGAGGAGTAGAAGGAAGAGCAGATGTGAAAGGGTTGATAAGCTAGGGTGCTAAGCAGATGTGTATATTCCTCCCCCCTCCTCGCTAAGTGGAGGAGGGATACGGTCCCTCCTGGTCCACAGAGGGGGATATGGTCCCTCTCCCAGGGGCAATGGGAACAGGGAGTAAGTATGATGGCCCACACGAGCAATCATAGCTGCATTTTTAACATCCTCTCCTGCCCCTGAAGAGGGGCTTCTCTGGGCACAGAAGCAGGGAGCCCGGCTCTGAGGGGCCGGGAGGACTGATAGGCCTCCCTTCTCTCTCCACAGCAAGAACGAGTCTCCCCAAGATGCCATCTTTGACCGCATGGCAGCTCCACGAGCAGAGGTACCGCCGGCGGGCCAGACCTCCCACCCCACCTCTGGGCTCCACCCTGCACCACTGTGCTCTCCTGCCGGGCGCCCTCTGTGTGCCTACGATTGGACTGGGTGCTGCAGGGAGGAGGGGCCTCAGCCTCAGTCCCAAGGGGGCCCAGCTGACAGGAGGCGATGTGGGGAGTACTCAGAGGCAGGGGGAACACAGCTATCCACCATCTGTTCAGCAAGCCTTCCTGGCTTCCTCCGAGAGGCCTCCCACCGTGGGGACTGAAGCATCAGACATGACTCAAACCAGGTCCTGTCCTTAAGGAGCTCCCAGCTCCCTGGGGACACCCATGCAGAGACACCCAGCTGACAGTGGTCAGCGCCCTGGGTTTATGGGAGCACTGGAGCCTGCGCCAAGGCTTGGGGGGCTGAGGAAGGGGCTCGGCCCAGAGAGTTTGGATCCTTGCCTCTCTGTGTTCATCCCACCCAGGTCTGAAAGGAGCACCATTCTGGAGTCAGAGAGACCTGGGTTCTTTTTTTTTTTTTTTTAAGATTTATTTATTTATTTATGATAGACATAGAGAGAGAGAGGCAGAGACACAGGCAGAGGGAGAAGCAGGCTCCATGCCGGGAGCCCAATGTGGGACTCGATCCCGGGACTCCAGGATCGCGCCCTGGGCCAAAGGCAGACGCTAAACTGCTGAGCCACCCAGGGATCCCCGAGACCTGGGTTCTAATCCAGGCTTCCCCACTAACAAATGGCGTGGCCTCAGACAAGTCGGTCATGCTCCCTGGGCCAGTGTCCTCAGCTGTTAACTGGGACGCTGAAGTATGCAAAGCACTTTAGTAGGAATTCAGTGGATGCTTCCTCCCTCCTGCCCTACTCCACTCTTCTCCCAGGCCTTGTTTGACTTCACTGGCAACAGCAAACTGGAGCTGAATTTCAAAGCTGGAGATGTGATCATCCTTCTCAGTCGGATCAATAAAGACTGGCTGGAGGTGAGGATGGGGGTAAGGTTAGAGGTGATGTTGGAGGTAAGGATGAGGATGAGGTTGGGGTGAGGTCGGGGGTGAGGTTGAAGGTGATGTTGGAGGTGAAGATGCAGATGAGGATGCAGGTGAGGTTGGAGATGAGGTTGGGTGACAATGGGGTAAGGTTGGTGAGGATGGGAGTAAGGTTGGAGGTGAGGATGGGGATAAGGTTGGTGTGTGAATGGGGGTGAAGTTGGAGGTAAAGGTGCAGGTGAGGATGCAGGTGAGGTTGGAGGTAAGTTGGAGGTGAGGTTGTTTTGCGTCTGGTTGTGGCAGGAGACCAGAGGGGGGCAGGGGCGGGGAATGGCTCAGGGAAGAGATGCCATCTGCAGATAGTCCTGGGAATCAGAGCTGCTGGGTGGGGGCAGCCGAGGAATACAGCCATGGGGAGGCAGTTGTGTGACTGGGGCAGAAGATTCTGGAGACCACACTTCCCTTTGGTTCTGACCCCAACAAACAGTTGCTTTAGGCAAGTCGGTTAATCTACTGAATTTAATATCTTGGTCTATCTCGGGGTTTCTTAGCCACGGCACTGTTGACATTTGGGGCCAGATGGGGTCTTTGGTGTGGGGCCATCCTGTGCATTGTAGGGGGGTTAGCCACAACCTCAGGCTCTGCTCACTAGATGCCAGTAGCACCCCTGCAGTTTATAATCAAACATCTGCAGACATTTGGCTGGCGGGGGGAGGGGGGCGCAAAATCACCTGCAGCCAAGACGCACTGGTGTGTCATCTGGGATGATGTCCCTTAACTTGAAGGCAGTGAGACAAGATAGTGATGCCGACCTTGAGCTCTGGAGTCGGCCTGTCTCGTGTCATTTCCTACTTGTTTTCAACTAGCTTTGCATCTCTGGGAGCTTTGCTCAACCCTGTGGTTTCCTTTTCTGTAAACGGAGATAGCTGGCAGTTTCTTCATAGCCATCCTGGGAGGGCTGACCCAGGCGCAGCTATGCGGGGCTTGGCCCATAGAGGGCCTAGATGCATCCATCTGCTGGGAAGGTCAGATAAGAGACCTGTCTTGATCCTTGCTTTGTCTCCATGCACACCTGGTGTGTGGCCCCTACAGGGACTCATACTAACTCAGTGAGTGGAGATGGGAGGTCCTGGCTCTGGTTCCAGCGGTTTGGATCGGGTCCTGCTGTTCCTACACAAAATTCCATTTTTGTCGAGGCTTCTGAGGCAAGAGGTGTCTGAAGGAGATGGGGGACAGCCCCCAGGGGGACTCGAGGGGAGAGGAGGGTCCCTGGTGGCCAGGGGCTAGAGAGCCGCAGGACCATCTGTCTCACTGACTTGTCCTGGGACACTAAGGCTCCTTTTTTTTTTTTTTTTTTAGATTTTATTTATTTATTCATGACAAACACAGAGAAAGAGGCAGAGACACAGGCAGAGGGAGAACAGGCTCCCCGCATGGAGCCCGATGTGGGACTCGATCCCAGGACTCGGGATCACGATCTGAGCTGAAGGCAGACCCTCAACCACTGAGCCACCCAGAGGCCCCAGGACACTAAGGCTCTTACAGCTGTCGGGTATTGCTGGGAAATGCTCCAGAAATAGGAAATGCTTGCTACCTTCCTATTTTCTGAAAAGCTCTCTGTGTGAGTCAGTTGGCCAACTTCTGGCCTCAGCTTTAGGGGAAGGTGAGGGGATTACTTTGGACCTCAGTTTAAGGGTCTGCAAAATGGGATGTGGATAATATGTCTTCTCTAGGGTTGTGAGGATTAAGAGGACATGTGGGCAAAGAACAGGCAGTGGCTGGGCTTGGCCTGGGCTGGAGAGAGATTTCTGGCCATTGGGGCTAGAGCAGGTGCTCTGTGGTGTCCACAGAGTGAATGAATGAATGAATGAGTGAGTGAAGGGAGCCACCATGTCATCTCCGTCCCCCATCTGTGTTCCTCCTTAACGCCTCCGGCCACTGGCTCAGCATAAAGTTCACCTGCTTCCCTGCGTCACCCCTTATAACACAGCTGCAAGTGGAAGGGCAAGGACTGCCATCCATTCTGAGTCCCAGAGCCTGCCCTGTGCCCAGGGCTCATGAAGTCTGTGAATGAATGACTGAATTAGATGAAATGAGCTTTCCAGATAAAGAGATCTTGACCTATTCTAAATGGAAATATAAGTCTTCTTGGGGTGAACAGGATGGCGACCTTGGTCACTTTTTCTCCTACCTCTGCATACAACCTTGTCTGCATCATCATAAGGGGGCCTGGATGAGGGGAGTGGTTCAGCCCTGCTGCCTCTCCTCCCACCGAGAGGGCAGCTCCTTCTTTCTTCCTCAGGGCACAGTCCGGGGAGCCACGGGCATCTTCCCACAGTCATTCGTGAAGATCCTCAAGGACTTCCCGGAGGAGGAAGACCCCACCAACTGGCTGCGCTGCTACTACTACGAAGACACCATCAGCACCACCAAGTTCGTGCCCCCACCCCACCCCCTACGTCCCACTCTGGGCTCTGAGACCCAAAGTAGGTCTCCCCTCACTCGACTAAAAGCCTGCAGTGGCTCACACTGCCCTCCAGATAAGCCTTACCTCGGTAACAAGATGTCAAGATCCATTGTGATCCTGCCCTTATTGTTCCCGGGTCCCCTTCCGGCCTGATGCCCCCTCACTACTGCCCCTTTTCCCCTAGGGACATAGCGGTGGAGGAAGACCTCAGCAGCACCCCTCTGTTCAAGGACCTGATGCAGCTCATGAGGTGAGAGGTGGGAGATGGCAGGGGGTGGAGGTGGTGGGCCAGCCCCCTGGGGGAGCAAACAGAGAAAGGAACATGGTGCATGGAGGTGCGAGGTGTTTTGCCTCTGCTTTACCCCCAGCCTGGCCCCGAGGGGCAGACACCAGCTCTCCATGACGGAGATGAGTGGGGTCTGCAGAGCGACATACAGGGGCTTGGATGAGGTCACACAGCTTGCGAGTGTGGATTTGCAGCCAGAGCTAGAGTCTTCCTAGCTAAAAACCTTGGACTTGGGTCCTGTGCCATCAGAGAACCACCACCTCCCAAGATCCAGCTTATTCACGCAGAATGGAATTGTTCTATTCCTGACTATGAAAGTAATTCCTTTTCATCATTAAAAAAAATGTCAGAAATCACAGAAAGGTATAAAGAGGTGAAATGTATATACATAATATTTCTCCTCTCATTACTAGATGCACATCTAGATTTCTTGAGTGCACACCTCCACCCCCACCCCATAACTATGACGACAGCTCGCTGCACGGTATCATGCCAGGGATGCACCATAGTCGATGTAGTCACCCCTTCTTGGCCATTTAGATTATCCTCCCCTTACTACCAGGAATAATGCTGTACTTCTCATATTCGGTGACTTGCCCAATTTTCCCTCAGGATGAGTTTCTAGAAGTGGAATTTTGAAATCAAGGTGTTTGCAAGTCTGTTAGGCTTCCCACCCCATTTGTCAAGTTACCTATAGAACGGTTGTATCAGTTTTTACTGTCACCAGACACGTGCACCCCACATCAGATGGTCCCAATCCTTATAGAATTCTCCCCCAGCCTTCACACAGATAATAGCTCTCGGGGGCTCTATCCTGTGTGGCTTGTGCCTGGCCAAACCCACTCCTCTTCCCCACGATGGTTCTTAACTCTGCACATTTATACACAGAGCACTTCAGGCTGTGCCACTAATTTGTTGTGGAAGCCTCTTCTCCCCTGTCTCAGTTTCTCCATCTGTACAGTGGGAGGTTGGACCACACAGATGATAAGGTCTGTGTCAAGCTCTGATCTCTTCTGATTCTTAGCTCCTGGCTCTCAAAAGCCCTCAGCCCCCTTTCCCTGTATCCCTTAGGCTTAGGCCCAAGGCCCCTGGACCTTCTATTAATCCTGATCTTTCCCACCCAGGCGGGAGTTCCAGAGGGAAGACATCGCCCTGAATTACCGGGATGCTCAGGGGGATCTGGTGCGGCTGCTGTCGGACGAGGACGTGGCGCTCATGGTGAAGCAGGCCCAAGGTCTCCCCTCCCAGAAGCACCTCTTCCCTTGGAAGCTGCACATCACCCAGAAGGATGACTACAGAGTCTACAACACTGTCCCCTGAGCCTATGGTGTCCCTGGAGCAGGAAGGGCCACTTGGTAAGAAGCCCTCAGAGGAGATTAGGACCAGGAAAGCCTGGGAACATGGAACAGACTTCCTGGTTCAAATCTACGGACCCACTTGGCTTGGCTTGCATTCTGTCTGTCTGTACACTCGGTCTCAGATTAAAATAAACCCTTTCATCTCAAAGGTCCAGACTCTGAAAGACCGTATCTTTTGAGGAAAGAAAGGAAACGGAGTAAAATTCCCATCAATGAGCGTCAATTAGGGGTCATTTATATATAGAAGGGGCCTGGCGTAGGGCCTCATTCCAGCTTGCCCTGTCCACCAAAATAAAGGCATTGGCAGGGCCATGGTCCCAATGAAATCGGTTGAGGCATCCTCTTCCATAAGCAATAAAACCCACAACAACCCACTGGAAAACATCCACTCAATGAAAATTCAACAGGCCTTGAAAGCTCCATTGTGGCAAAGCCAATCGTTTGGCTTTTAACATGTTGCCCCACCAGACTGGTTGAGGAGCCCTACTGATATGAAACAGCTAAGCCCTAGATAGGACACACTCTTCAAAGAATCACAGCCTTATAAGAAGTAGTGGGACTTTTCAGTGATCCTGCCTTTCCCCTTTCTTCCCACATCGCCCTGATTACAAAACTGGGGCCAGAACCTACAGCTTGGCCAGGGGAGCTTTGTTCTGAAATGCAGAGGCAGCACTGCTGTCAAAATGCTGAGGCTCAGGGAGGCCAGGATGTAGGGAGGCTGGACCGGGGGCCTCTTGTGATGGGTCCAGGCCCTGGGGTGAGGGCTGAGGGGATCCTGACAGAGCGGCATCCCTGCCTCCAAGCAGAAGCAGGAGAAAGTCATCTCTGGACTGAAGTGTCCTCAGTTTGGGCTGATTTCAGATGAAGCAAAGGCTTATAGTCAAAGATCACTAACTCTCTGCAAGTGAGAATAGGCAGTGACAATAAGCCATAGCTTTAGAGCCCCCAGCTACAAGTTTTTGAGCTATGGGACTGGAATATTTAAAGAAATAAAGAAGGAGAACTTAAAAATGAACAAGCTGAAGAGAATGACCAAGCAGATTTGCAAAAGAGAGCTAGAATGTACATACACACTTATTATGCATGTATCTGCATGCCAGTGTGAGCATGCGCCTGGTGACACAGAAAACCCAGTGGATGGGTTAGATGGTGTATTAGAGAGGAGAAAACTAGTGCATTGGAAAAGAGAAAAATCGAAGAAATTACTCAGAATATAACACAGAGAGACAAGTGGCTGGAGAATATGAAAATGAAGTTAAGAGATACAAACAATAGAATGTGGTTTTTAAAAAATCAAAATCTCAGAAAGAGAAAATATATAGAGAATGGAGAAGTAGAGAGATGGCAGATGTAGTATTTCAAAACTGATGAAAAACTCAAATCTATGGGTCTAAGGAGCATCTCTGGACAAGGAGGATAAACAAAAAGTGGTCCATTGCTGGCTACAACATTTTGAAACTGCAAAAACACTGAAGTCAAGGAGAAGATTTTAAAAGGAGAGAATATTGAGATTGCTACAAAGTAGTAATTAGAATGATGAGCAGGCTTCTCAATAGTATCAATGGAAGCCAAAGTGAATAACGTTATATCCAAATTTTTGAGACACAATAACTTTCAATCAAAACCATATGCTCTGTAAAACTGTCTTTCAATAGTGACAGTGAAATGAAGACATGTACAGATAAAAACTGAGAGTTTGCCACCAAGATCCTTAAACCAAAATTATCTTTAAAATACATTCTTTAAGAAGAGGAAAAACATTCTTGAGGGGCAAGTCTGAGATGCAAGAACATGTGATAAACAAAAGCAATGGTAAGTATCATGGTGGATTTGTTTTGTGTTGACTGGCTAAGCTGAAATGATATTTCTAAGAACTTCCTTCCCTGCATGGATCCAGAGGGGTATGGACCATCAGAGGCATTTTGCAAGAGATTCAGAACGGGAATGTTTGCAGCAGCAAGCATCTTTTTAGTCAAGAGATGCTGATGCAGTTTATGTGCATTGCTGCTTATCTGCTGGTTCACAGTTTGGAACTTCAGAACACAAAAGTCAAAGAGAAGATCTTCAAAGCCGTTAGAGAAAGTTACAAACGAACAACGCTTAGAACAATAGCAGGCTTCTCAGTAACCCCTTCAAATGTCAGGTCCCAGCTCCTATGCTGCTTGGTGATTAGCTCTGTGCTGAAGGGCACCGGTTTCCTCTGCAGGTCCCCCTCACTGCAGTCCTGGGGGTGATGAGAGACTGATGTGGCTCCAGCTGACACCTGTAGGTCTCTGTTTCTCCTTGCTCCCCTTAAGTCACATGCATCTTCTATTTTTGACAGCCTGCCTGGCAGACCTGACACAGATGCAAAAGCATCATAGAAAAGGTTTAACCACAACTGAGGAAGACTGAATTCTAAAGGCAAAACTCTTGTTATATCTTTCCTAGTGATCCTGCTTCTCTGATGGAACCCTGACTCATACACACGAATATGAATTAAAATAAATATTCTCAATATAAATTAATAACAGGGTCTAATTTCTAGGGTTAAAAGAAGGACAGACTTAATATACTGGAGGATAATAATCATACGTGCATTCAGAGAGGTGGAATTAAAGTATTCTTTAATACTTTAAAGAATAGGCACTTACCATCATGATCCCAGGGTCCTGGAATTGAGTCCTACATCAGGCTTCCCCCAGGGAGCCTGCTTCTCTCTGCCTATGTCTCTGTCTCTCTGTGTTACTCATGAATAAATAAATAAAATCTTTTTAAAAAAATTAAAAAATCATCCAAAGAATAGAAAAAGAATATATGTATTTCCTGAATTTTACATCAAAATGAAAAAGAGGAAAGAAAACCAATTAAAAAGAGACAAGAAATAGGGCACCTGGCTGCCTCAGTCAGAAGAGTTTTTTTTTCTTTAAGAGTTTATTTATTTATTCATGAGAGACACAGAGAGAGAGGCAGAGACACAGGCAGAGGGAGAAGCAGGCTCCATGCAGGGAGCCTGATGTGGGACTCGATCCCAGGACCCCAGGATCATGAGCTGAGCCAAATGCAAATGCTCAACCGCTGAGCCACCCAGGTGCCCTGAGTTTGTGACTCTTGATCTTGAGGTTTTAAGTTCGAACCCCACATTGAGTAGAGAGTACTTTAAAATCTTTTCTAAAAAGAAGAGGCAAGAAAGAAGAAAAAAGTAGTAGGATTCAAAAAGTTACTTGGTAAAATATAGGTTCAAAAACAATAATTTTGATATTTTAAACAATATAGGGACTCAATGCACCAATTAAAAGATTGTCAGATTGGGGGCACCTGGGTGACTCACTCAGTTAAGCATCTTACCTTTGGCTCAGGTCATGATCCCAGGGTCCAGTATTGAGCTCCCTGATGAGCAGGGAGCCTGCTTCTCCCTCTCCCCCCTACGAGTACTCTCTCAAATAAAAACAAACAAACAAACAAATAAAATCTTTTTTAAAAAAGATTGTCAGATTAGATTTTTTAAAAACTAAGTCTGTGTGCATGTCATACACATGAGAGGCTCACATAAAATCTAAGGACATGGAAACATTGAAAGCTCAAGGGTACAAGAAGATATGCATGATAATTACTAAGCAAAAGACAGTGTGGTGGGGGTGAAGGGTTGGGATGTCTCTAGAGATCCACACACTATTTTTGTGTAAACTTGGCACAGATTTAGTGACGGTTCTTGACACTGAACTAAATAGTTATGCTTATCACCCACACTTGCCTCTATTGTCCCTTATACTTTGTTGCTTTGTTGAGCGCTGTGTGTGTGATTTTTTTTTACTTTATTTTTGACTTTATGTATAACTGAAGTATGAAAGTGTCAAAATCGGAGGAGAAGAAGCTTTTGCTGATAATCAAGTAGCTGAAAATTGCATCAGTGGGTTTGCTATGATATGAACTGATGTGAGTTTTGACAGTGAACAATTTATGGTGGGGAGAAAACTTCTCTAGAAAGGCTGATGAGGCACACACTTTTTGGTGTGCCAAGAGTGCTGCAGATACACACAAGATACATGTGGAACTAACAGGAAAAAAACCCCGACATGTGCCATCATTGGAAAGTGTATACAACTTACTGTCTATTATCGTGCAAATAAGACAACCAGAGAAATGTTTTCTGATCGACTAATAACCACTTTGTGCCAGTGGTGCCAACTCATTGTAGGCATTCTGGACTGGAAAAAAAGACTTATAAAATATTATCATCATTCCTGGAAAATTGCCATGTACGTCTCCTTCCTGAACTTCTTGTGAACACCAGTGTTTCAGTCTTTATGTCTCCCCAGTGAGATATGTGTATAACTGCCCAAGTACAAAGAATTTTAGAGCACGGATAAACACTTCTTTTCAGACTGTGCACTTTCTATAATCACAGAGCCTAGCTAGGACTCCATGATTCCCCCAAAGAATTCACTCTTAAGAATGTTATTTACACAATTGCCAATGCTTAGGATGATGCTGACAAATCAAGTTTACCAGAGATTTGACACAGCCTCTGTGTACAGTGATATTTGAAAAATGAATCTCCCCATCAGGGCTTTGAAGACTTTTTCTTTGTGACTAATGAGAAGATGGTGATATAAAACTTCATTCTTGCACAAGAAGTTTATCAGCCTAAAATGTAAGTAAGTTAGAGGAGCTGATAGCAAAGAAATGGTAAACTCTAGGATTCATCTATTGTTCATTCCTTGTGAAATAGGGAAATTCTCAAAGTGGAGTTATACATAGATAAGAGTTGACTGGTAATCCTGATGGAGTTGTTGACATGGTGAACACAGATAAAAACATTCTCCTTGCCAATGTGGCGGATATCTGTTATCAGGTAAATAGCCTTGAACAGTTTGAAATTAATAATGGGTAGAAGGTAATGGCAAATGGCCCAACCAGGAACAGACTTCTTGGAAGAAATCTAACTTAATGGACTATCTCTGGAAAAAGTCATTAAAAAGAGATTTAGTTACAATGCTGTCTCTTCCTTTAAGACTTCTATTCCTGACTCAGCATCAAATATCCAATAGCAAAACTATGGCATCCTCAAATTAGGATGATTCAAGGGGTGTTTAATAAAGGAACTACTTACACAGATAGAGGCAGCATGTGGGGAACCAGAAAGAAG